GTTTGTCAAAATCTCGAAATAAGGTCTGTACAGTTGTACGTAATGCGTTTAGTTTATATACATAAATTGATTACATTTTTATATTGCGTAATTTATAGATTTATTTTGCGAGTATAACTTGTTTGGCTAATATATGTCTATTAATATATATATAATAATATAATATATTATATAATATTATATACATTAATATATATAATAGTATAATATATTATATAATATTATATAGAATAATATATATAATAATATAATATATTATATAATCTTATATATATTAATATATATAATAGTATAATATATTATATAATATTATATAGAATAATATATATAATAATATAATATATTATATAATATTATATATATTGGTTATTTGGTTTCAATTTAAATTTCTAGTAAACATCTGTTGTAATTAAAACAACAAATTCTTTGTTGTTTCACCAAATTTATTATCCAAAATTACGTCAATTCAAAATGAATCAAATTGATTCGGTCAATAATTAATACAGCAAATTCTCCCTAATTATACGATTATACGAGCCTCGCGGCTCGTTTTAATAATTGTTCACAATCGGTGACTATAAAAACGAGCCGCGAGGCTCGAATAATCGCATCTCCTCTTCCCAGATTGTCCATTTCTGTGTACAAGCTGACAGTCAATTAGGGAGAATTTACCGTACATCGTTTAAAATCACTGAATAAAAATCATTCAGTAATTAGTGACTTGACTGCGAAGCTTGATTTAAAACAAAAAATAAAGAGTAAATCAATATCGGCAATGCATTGTTTTTCTTACGAAACTGCCAGATATACAGTTACCGCACAAATCAACGTCGCGGTAATACTTTTTCCATCCACTGTACCTGTCTTACACAATATGGTGTGCATGCGACGTTCTCAGCTTCAATACTAGCTGCTATCGGCTGCGGCCAGAACTTTCCAGTAGATCTAATAGTTAATACCGAGAGTTATACGTATTTGGGCGGAAGTGTTGTTGATAACAGGGAATCACTGGGATACGCTAGAGTGCACTGGGGCTGTTCTCGAATTTGTAAATGAGCGATTCTCGCGGGATCGTTCGATCTCCGTTTAAGCCAAACCGACGAGAGCTGTCTCTGCTAATGACAATGTATCTGTTTGTGGGATAACTTGCCACCCACGAACGCACCTATCTACGCTACAAGTGTGGATTGAAAGGGGGCGGGGTGGGGGGTTCCACGGAGAACGAATGGCAAAAGCTTTTATTTCTTTTATTTCTTAAATATCCTTCAGATATTTTCATTTAATATTACAGTAATTTTTTTTCTAATTTGCGCTCAGATTGCGCACAAAAATGGACAATTTGGGAAGAGGAGCTACGATTATTCGAGCTTTGCTTCTCGTTTTTATGGTTATTAACAATAACACACGCTCTCTTTTGCTTTCTTCTCCCCTTCTTGATTACAGTAAATTCTCCCTAATTTTCCTCAACAACAATTATAAGACAATTATAATATCAACAATTATAAAAACGAGGCGCAAGACATCAGGCTTGTTCGTCTAATTTTCCCAAATAAAATTTAAATCTAAATCTCAAATTAAGGATCAAAATAAGCATACTTTCCTACTTCAGTATTTATAACTTTAATATATGTGGCGTAGTTCTCTAAGGAAGATGTTTTTAATATTTCCAAAATTTCTCGTCCACGAAAGAGTTAACAAAACGCACCGCGACTTCTATTCTATTGGACGCTCAACAAAATATTGAAGCAATTAGATTAATTTATTTTCGATTTCTTTATTCTCGCTCAATTTATTTTTCCCTAATCGATGCGCAGCTTTTAAACAAAAATGGACAATCTAGGAATAATTAATTTATAGAAACGTTTCTAAGAAAAACTTGTCCCCAAATCGTCCATTTTTATTTCCAAGTAGAGCGTCAGTTAAGAAAAATGTACTGCACCGAGAATGAAAGCCGTCTATTCCGTCTACTAATTATTAATTCTGCGTCCTTTTGACGTCTGCGATACGCAAATCCCCTTTTCGCAGAGGTTATTGCCGGTCCGATTCGCCGAGAAAATGGCCGCGGAAAAGGTCCGAGAATTATAAATTATCTCGTACGATGATACAGTAAGTTCGTTTGTGTCGAAAATCCTCGGTTAAAGTCTTTCGCGACTGTCTCAAGGATCGTTTGAAACGAGGTCAGCTCGATCCTGGCCTCTCTAGATTATCAGGGCTTTTTCCTGGCTATACGCCAACGGTTACCATGGCGACCATCTTAAACGTATACTATCCACGAACCTTTCTTAGCTCGCACTTCTTTTTTCGTGGTCGCTATTTCTAATATACGAGCGACACGGATTTATCGAAAATCATGTTGTCGCCTTTGGCGTACCGCATTTGATTTGGGACTACCCACTTCACTCAAGGAAGAGGACGCTCTTTTCTCTCCGACTTCCTGCTTTCTATAGCAGCTCCGACACAGAAAGAAAAACCAGCTACTTTGCGGAGAGAACTCGGGAAAGATATTATAGAGCAACGATTCGATCACTAGATTTACGGAGCACACACAAAAAACAGCTGTTTTATATATTAGTTTGTAAAAGTAACGATAAGATGTTTATTCTGATTTTTAACACAAGTGTTATTGTAACATTTGATGCAAGTTAATAAATTGAACAAATAACTCATAAATGTATCTTTCACGATATGAATAATCGTAAATTACAAAATGAAAGAAATCGATTCAGAAACTTTATTTGCATATTTTCAGGATTTCGCGACAGTCATTGTTACATCCATGAAAATGTATTAATTTCCATTCACACATTTTTTTCTATTTATCCCTTTGAGACCAACGTTAAAAATAGCAAATAGCTGATAGCAAATAATGTAAACTGGCTGTTAAAAAATTAGAATTTGGCTGGAATGTTCATAATTCTAGATCGAACGGATTACAACTCAAGTCATTTTAGGATTAATAATCCCTTATCGTACAATTGACAGTTATTGTATTCCCATATATTTTTGCTTAATATTAATAAGAGAAATTTTTAATTTTACTTTTTCATTTGAAAGAAATTAAGAAACCATTGCGTAAACTTTAATTCTACTGTTCCTTGACCTTAAGATTTTGCGCTGATATAGCGGTTATAACTTCTTTGTCGATCATAAATTCCAAAAAAAGTTCAAAGAAAATTAATTTGGTCAAAATATAGGTTGTCCTCAAATTATGGTACTTCCAGGAAACGAGGGATTCCTGAGGCTATTTGAAGCAACTTTTTCCTTAGCGAAAATGCAATCCGCGGCTTTGTTTGCGAGTTATTAGCGAAAAACGGTGACCAATGAGAAGCGAGCTCGGCTGGCGCTACGCGGCCGAGCCAATCAACGGGACTGGGCTTCGCGCGGCATTGGCCGCCGTGCGACAGCTGATCTCGCCTCTCATTGGTCACTGTTTTTCGTCAATAACTCGCAAACGAAGCCGCGGATTGCATTTTCGCTAAGGAAAAAGTTGCTTCAAATGACCTCAGGACACCCTGCAGATCCTAGCAGAACTGTCTGAGAATATAACCAAGCTCCAGAGACTTAGAACAAGAGTTTAGTGTTCAAAAGAAATTAAGCAGGTCATTGTAACGAAAAATTTGGCTGATCGATTTTATTATTATACACAAGAACTTTAGAATGCTAGATTTTTATATCGCGGACATTTCGTGAAATGTTAACTTTTCGCTGAAGAAACGATTATTTAAAAATAACTGCAGTATCATAGAAAGGAAAAATTTTCTCTTGGTTATTTCATGTGCGTATATCGATAATTGTTCATTGGCAGCACCCCTCCTGCGGATATTCTACAGTTCGTTATTCTAAATGTCAATTCCGTATCATTTTTTCGGTTGACTTCATTCGACTGCAAACTGAGAAAGTAATTAAACTTTCGGTATATTCAATTGCGAACACGCTTTTCATCAGAAAACAATGTTTTCGTAATTCACGAATTTTCACATCAGTTCGCTTCTCAATTTTCTATGCAAACTCAAGTCACGGTTGTTTATGGTCGGTAACTATTGGCAGTTTCTTTTCAATAGTTCCAAAAGTTCGAATCCCTTGCCATTCTTCCGAAAGTTTTGACACTTACTTCTGAGCCAGCTTCAACCAATTCATGCTGCTATTTGCTGTGCAAATTATCAAGATAAGACGTTCTCTTGCTAGGTTATTCCTCTTGGAAGTTTCCAGGATGAATTTTATACATTTATTTTCATTTATAAATTATAGTTACCTTTATTTATTTTTTATTTATAGTGATCGTTATTTCTTCAAATAATTAGGAAATGTGCAGCTATTTTCTCTGTTGAACTTATCATTAATTATTCCCACGGAAGATTGTTAATTACTATACTGCGGATCTGTGTGCAAAATACGAATTATTTGAATTCTTTTTTATTGTTTTAGCTAACAGCTTTTGTCATAAACACATAAAATCCACAGCTTATTAATTAATCGCGGTTTTCTCAACGTTGTTCCATGTGACATTTTATATGATAAATGCTACATTACTATCACATTAGTGTCCATAAAAACATCCGTAATTATTATAACAATTGCTTTCGCAATCCTCTCATCCGTCGTAGATCCCACTGAAGTTTGACATGCGATTAAAATTAATTTGCAAGTTTGATGAAAAGATTTATGTCGTATATGATATTAAAAATTGAAGGAGTTGAAACGTTTAAAAATTGTTTTGTTTCAGGCACTCCTTCGAGGAGCCTTGACTCAACAAAGTGCCGTTATTCTCGTCTGCATGGCAATTGATCGTTACGTTTGTATGCTGCATCCTCACCATTATCATAAGCACGCATCTAAAAAGGTATGTTACAAAATTCAATTGCGCTTTACGCGCCACATTTTACAGACACGTACACACGCATTACACTTATTTCACGTGTATCTCACGTGCAAGCTGTTACGCATACTAAAACCACTCAACCCAATTTTCATGGGCGTATCTTGTGCCGTTCAGTCATTTTCCATGAATCTTATAGAATAAATCTCTTTACTTCGATCAATTCAAAATAGATTTTTCTGTATATTTTCTTACAAAAATTCGCTTTGGCCAGATTCAAATTCGAATTGATTTGATAAACAATTTCGAAAGACTTTTCGTCTGCGCACCAATTTACAAGCCCCTTTAACCAATTAGCTGTGGCGCCTCCTTTTCAGAGCGCCCGTCTGTGTGTGCCGCGAGAATCAAGCGACGACGAGTATGCTCGTCGAACACAAAGTAGCGTCGCTGTTAAAATATTGGATCAAAGAGACGGTTTCATTTTATGAAATTAACAATTTTATTACTAATATTTACTTTACATTAATATATATTGCACACATAAACGAAAAACACGTGATTCTTTTCTAATCTTATTTTTATAACAATGTAAACACCTTCGTATATATAGGATCGGCCTTAAAATATTCTAAACATCTTGAAATTTGAGAATATGTTTTTCTTTTCACTAAAATTACAATTTAAATAGCCAGTGGACACTAGTTTTTACGCACGACGAGTATACTCGTCGTGACACAAAATACCGTCACTTTTCTATAACGAGTATACTCGTCAAACACAGCTAACTGGTTAAGGGAACTCCTTATTTTGAAGGGAAATCACTAGTTTTTACGCACGACGAGTATACTCGTCGCGACACAAAATGCTGTCACTTCTCCATGACGAGTATACTCGTCGAACACAGCTAACTGGTTAAGAGAAATCTCTATTTTGAAGGGAAATCATAACTTTTTACGCATGACGAGTATACTCGTCGCGACACAAAATACCGTCACTTTTCCATGACGAATATACTCGTCGAACACAGCTAACTGGTTAAGAGAAATCTCTATTTTGAAGGGAAATCATAACTTTTTACGCATGACGAGTATACTCGTCGCGACACAAAATACCGTCACTTTTCCATGACGAATATACTCGTCGAACACAGCTAACTGGTTAAGAGAAATCTCTATTTTGAAGGGAAATCATAACTTTTTACGCATGACGAGTATACTCGTCGCGACACAAAATACCGTCACTTTTCCATGACGAATATACTCGTCGAACACAGCTAACTGGTTAAGAGAACTCTTTATTTTGAAGAGAGATCGCTATTTTTTACGCACGTCGAGTATACTCGTCGTGACACAAAATACTGTCATTTCTTTATGACGAGTATACTCGTCGAACACAGCTAACTGGTTAAAACCGCTACAAAAACATCACTCAGCAAAGAATAACTCCAATTATGATAGAATTTGTATTTAATGTAATCTCTTATATCTGTTGTGACCACTTGATATATTGTTTGTTGTTGTTTCAGTATTCGAAGTTTGGGAAACTGTTTAGAAATAAGACTAAATAACTGATTATTTTTCAGCGGACTAACAAAAAGTCCTCTTATGTCATATGCATTATTAAATTTCTATCCACATGTATCATACAATCTTATCAAAATCGAGCAACGATACGTGGAAAGCGATATCTTTATCATAGGTTGTCAGGCATATCATAAGCGTATGTGTACGATGTACTTGCGAAATATTTATAACTCCTGATTTCAACGATCCGATACATTACAATGTTCCTACGATTTTTGTTCGCTTTCATTTTAATCGTAAAAAAACTCCATGAATAAATTTTCGTAGAGTAAACACTCTATGCATAAATTACTTGGGTATCGCAAATCATTTTCAGAATATAAGAAGTTCAATCATGGAAAATTATAACGAGCGAGTAACCATTGCCACGCTGTGTTAAATCATGCTAATAACACATTTCGTGTAAAATATGTTAATCGAAAACTTGTGTTTCTGTATCATATAAATAAAGACGATGTTAGCGATAATTATAAATATCAAAACTAATTCGCATAAACTTTCTGTGAAATCGGAGCGAACGAAATGATATCAAATCACTCTGATTTCGCAATTCCAATTCTTATCAATTTTATGAGGATATTCGAGGTGCCGTCGAAAATAGTAATTTCTTACAACTTCGCTTATGAACTATTACGCGTTACTTTAATTCCTTACATTTCGCTCTTCTTGTGCTGGCTAGAATTTATAAACAAAAATATCAAATGCTACTTTTAATAGTATAGTACAACAGAAACGAACTTTTCTTCGCAATAGTACTTTGATCGCGCGTTTTGGAGAGACTTTCATGAGCAGAATACAAATATGCAACATTTTTTTAAAAACCTCGATGACCGTAATTTTCGGGAAAATCAATTTTGTAAAAGAAATGTCAATTTTCAGCTGTAATTGTATACTTTACATAAATTAACTGCATAAAGTTTATAATATACAGTTTGAACATTTATAGTAGAGCATGGACAGACATAAACAAAACTATTTTTCAATACAGAAAATTCTCCCTAATCGAGGCTCAGATATTCCACAAAAATGGTCAATTTAGGAAGAGAAGGTACGATTACTCGAGCCTCGTGATTTGTTTTCATAGCTTCCGATTGTCAACAACCATAAAAACGAAAACCGCAAGGCTCGAATAATCGTATCTCCTCTTCCCAAATTGTTCATTTTTGTGTTCAAGCTGACTGTCAATTAGGGAGAATTTATCGTACATCGTTTAAAATCAGTGAATAAAAATCATCCAGAAATTAGTGACCAAATTGGCCATTTTTGAATTCAATCTGAACGTCAATTAGAAAGAATTCACTGTATTGCGTTATGAGTAAGAAAATATGTTTCAATAAAGTTAAAGTGAAGAATTCACGAATCTAAAACGTTATTCGTAACTTCTACCAACATAATCTGTGAGTCAAATTTTCGTTGTGTCGCTTCACTCAGTGACATTTCCTCCGAAAAGTCTAGTTTTAAATTAAAGCCTTCGACTCCATTGTTCTACTCGAAACAGTTCGAGAACAGAAATACCATTGTTCGAGTTAAAACTAGAGACTTATTACAGTTAAACTTATTAACCCTGTGCACTCGAAGCCATTTTAACTGTAAACCTAAACCAATTTCTCTGACTTATAGGTATTTCCATTTTGTATGACAAAGTGCATTCTATGCATTCTATGAAATTGAGTCTTGTGATGATTCTCGTAACAACAGTTACACTTTTAACAATTTTTAAAAATCTAAATTTCGTTAACATAAAAATTATCTTGGAACGTGATACAGCAATTTTTTAGTGGTGCTTCGGAGTCACCACTCGAGTGCAAAGGGTTAAACTTATAGTTGAATTTATTGCAGTTGAATTTACTATTTGTTAAACAAGAAGGTATCGTTAAATTCGAAAACTCGCGATCGTTCCGAACCGAACGTACGTTCACAAAATCGATGGAAAATAGACCGGAAAAATGCGACGATAAAACGAATATACTAGCGACTAAACGGCCATTAACATCGCGGAACCGTGCAGCAGGTGAAAACGTACATTTTCTGAGGGTTAATGTGAAATCGAACGCGAGTGTTGCGCAAAAAAGGCAACGTCGATAGCCGCTGCTGGGTCTGTGACCCGATTCGCGGCGATGGGACGCTGAACGTATGCGTCTGTCGGTGACGGTGTGGGTGCGAACAAGCGTTTGGAAGTTCGGCAGGTGGGCCAATTAGACAATTGCGCCCTACCCCCGTGGCCGTCGCTCGAGTTGTTGGACGACTGTCAGAGTGTGCGAGACGACAGAGAGACACGGGGTAGTTACGAGCGGAAGACGCGAACAGTCGATGGAAAAGCGACGGCCGATTTCGCGATTCGTGGGAGAAAGGACGACAAAGGCGAAAACACGAAGCAGCAATTGAATTAACAATTAACCGCGCTCCCGGAAATTATGGAGATGTCGGGTGAACATATTCAAATACGCTAGGTTTCCTTGTAGGTGTGTTGAATTATGCTACCGCGGGTCTCTTCGTTTTTGGCAAGAGGAGACACGATTGTTCGAACCTTTCGGCTCGTTTTTATAGTCATAAATTGTCGACAATTATAAAAGCGAGCCGCAAGGCTCGGACAATCGTATCTCCTCTTCCCAAATTGTCCATTTTTGTGGATAATCTGAGCGTCAGTAAGGGAGACATTACTGTAAAACGACAGTGGAAAGAAAGAAAGAGTCGGAAACTCTTCTTTCTTGTCGACGCTCGAAACTCCAGCGGATACTCCGCGCGTCCTTTTCTCCCCTTTCTTCGGCTTTTTGTTTTATCAAAATTCTTTTCTCTCCACTTCCGTTTTTTTTCCGTTCGCCGACCGCGCGCGCTCCGAACGGGAACAAATACAGTAATGTCTCCCTAATTGACGCTCGGATTGTCCACGAAGATGGACAATTTGGGAAGCGGAGATACGATTATTCGAGCCTTGCGGCTCGTTAATTTATAGTTATTGACAATCGGTAATTGCAAAAAACGAACCACAAGGCTCGAATAATCGCGTCTCATTTTCCAAAATTGTCTATTTTAGTGCACAATTTGGGCGACAATTAGGGAGGCATTACTGTAATTAGATAGTAATGACGATATGAAATTCGGTATAGTGAAATGTTTGAAAACATTTGGACGGAACTTTTATGTTCCGTGGAATATAGGAACATTAACAGAAAGAATAATACAGCAAATTCTCCTAATTTTCGTTTTTATAATTATTGACAATCGGCGACTATTAAAATGAGCCACGAGGCTCGAATAATCGTATCTCCCTTTTCCAAATTGTCCATTTTTGTTTGCAAGCTGAAGAAAAATTAGGGAGAATTTGCTGTTTTAATATTTTTGAGGTTAAATTGAAATGAGGTTTTGTTTTAATATTAATTCATTATTTAATCTAAGACATTAACATTTCGTAATTTTTTTTTATTAAGCTTTCAAATCTCAGATTTATTTGCTATACAGTAAATTAAATGTATTTTATCAGAAACCTTAAATAGTAATTTAAATCTTATTATTAAATTTTAATATTAAAATATTTACTTGTTCCTATGTCATTGCCACTCGGCTCTAGTTTGCGAAATATTCTTAAAAATATTTTCAATGTAACATATCGTTTAATTTATTACATCTGCGATAGGTTTATGAGCATCATTAACCATTGGTTGCAAATGATTTGTTAAATAATCATGGTTCAGAATAAACATAGAAACGTTAAGGTGATCGTTAAAAACTAAGACTGCGAATCAGGATGTTTTCGTAGCTTAAAAACATGTTAAAAAATAATGCTAACGAAGTTCGAAGTTCAATAGAATTTAAGTAGAATTTATTGCATTTTTTATCCATATTTTACACACAAAAGTTATATATAACCTTGCCATTAAAAATAAAATCCTACTAGATTCTAGTCTCTCAAGATCCATTTGTAAAAATTAAAAATTACACAAACGTACGCAGCATCAGAAAATTGAGAAAAAAAAATACTATTGTAAAATATTTTCTTTCAACAAAGTTTCGGTCACCGTGTTTTTCTACTTCCCCGATGTTTGGCTCTTCGAGACGGAAAAGCAAAGGTTCCTTGGATGTGAAGTAATTATCGAGCAAATTTTCGATGCCGTGAGGGTAAAAGTTACACAGAGATTCGCAAACTCGTGAAACGGAGCGTAGTAAAATTTTAACGCGAATAGAATGCCCGAGAAGAGAGCAATGCTCGGTCTCTCAATTCTCACAGGCGCAGCCGAATGTGGAAACGACTGCGAGCGCTCTGACGTCTATGGACGATTTCCGCAGTTAAGGGACTGATCGGTCTTCCAATTTCTACGTCATGTAAGACGCGGAACCTCGAACGTTCCGAACGGTCATTCAGCTTTCGTCGCCGCGCGATTTAGGAAGGAAACGCGGCAGACGAAGGTTTCTGTTCCGGTGCTAGGGTGCTCCTCTTAAACCATTAAAAATCGGAGGATCGTCGATTACGCGAACCACCGTAATCCTTACAAATCCTATTTTATCAACAAAATCGAGGTAATATCGTTCACGGAACCAGAACTGTAAAGATCAAATTTATTTTAAAAATTATTCCATTAACTTTCCCACATTATTCGGAGTTTAAGAAAATTTTACTTTCTCGGAGATATGTTATTTGTTCAAATAGTTTTTTTAATATATTTCTGG